TTGGTTTTGTCGTAAGTCTGTAGGATGATAACGTTACTTTGTTGACTGAGATGATGTTGGGCCTTGAACTATTGATGGCCGATTGATACTTCGCAAGACTTGGGTACCTTGAAGTGGACGTGACTTCTGTAGGCATCAGTGACTTTCTATAGGACTGTACTTTCTCTTACTATTAATACGCATAGTGCCTTATTCCTGTCGCACTTGCGACGACAAGACCCCTGATGAAGGCTGGTTTGGCGGGCCAGCCGAAACATGTCGGTTCATTCCGCTGCTCTTCATTGTTATATTTCAATTTTACATCGCATCCGGGGTTTTACGCACTTGCGGCTTCTTTTGTCAACTTCTTTTGTCAACCTCTTTCTGTCCCTTCCCTTCTCTCTTCTTCTTCGTCTTCTCTCCCTACCCTCTTTGGTTCTGTCATCCTGATACAGGAGTTGGTTTGATGAATTATCCTTTTTGAAGTCAGTTTGTCTCAACAACTGCTTCGCCTCATGGAGTAACCAAGGTAGGGATAGTACAAGTGCCTGTGTGGCTTCGAGACTATACGTGCTGATTAGTTCATCACCTTCATTGTCCGGTTATGGCGTCTAACATGCCTTATTCGTCTATTGTGAGAACATGTTACAACTGTGGGGATCCAGGGCATTTTGTTAAATGGTGCCCTCATCCCAAGCCTGCCAATCCTCAATCTGCGATAGTCCCGTCTCATGTTCCATTGTTGACTCTTGCATCTAATTCTGTATCTAATCCTAATGTCGTGGCTAGTACTAGCGCGACAGGACAGTTTCCCAGAGGTTTCGGTCGGGGTCAGACAAAGCAGGGAATGGATTATCTAGAGCATACGCTGGCCGAAATCAAGATCAGACATGAGTCTGAGATAGAGAAGGAGAAGAATCTTAAGGCGGAGGAGGAGAAGAACGCAAGGGAGACAGCGGAGGAGGAGAGACGTGAGGCGGAGAAGGGGGATCGGGAGGAATTTCGTAAGCAACTCACCGATTCGATGAACATCAGACTGGATGGAGTTGTTGACCTCCTGCGTAGTAAGGGCGGCAGCAGTGAAGTGGAGGCACTTCGTAGGGAGGTTGAGAGGTTGGGGGGGAGGAACGTACCTGTGGTAGCCTTGACGAGCTCCACTCAAGCAACGATTCACGATAACGATGGATTGTTGGCAAAGATGATGGCTGAACAGGAGCGGATGAAGAACCAGTTGGAACAGGCTTTGCAAGCCAAACAATGCTTGGAGGTAATCGAAAAAGAAATGAACGAGGTCATTCGTGCACGTGATGAAGATAGGGCTGACGCGGAGAAGTGGCAGCAGGAAGCTTTGTGCCCTGGCAAACGGGGTTGTATTAATCTAACCACTCCGGCTGCGAAGACGTTGTTTCGTCCTTCTACGTCGACTCCTCTGAAATCACCCGTGGCGTCGGTTGACTTGAAGCGGATTTCTGATATGCATCGACTGAAGGTTGAAACCATACAGGAGATGCGTATTCGCGATTTCAATGCCAGGCGGGAGGCGGAGCAAGATTTGGAGAAAGCCAAGGAGAAGATCGCCCAGTTGGAGCATGAGAGGGTGCAAAAAACACCACGGTCCAATCTGCATGCCAGGATGGAGGAAGTCTGTACAACTAAGGGCAAGGGCAAGCATGCTGTGGAGAAGGCTGTGCCAGATGACAAGGAGAAGGAAATGTTTGCTAAAGAAGAAAGGAAGGCTTTACGAGGACTAATGAAGGATGCTTTGGTTGAGATCTGCGAGAGGGAAGGCGTTAAGTATGCTGGTGTCAAGCAGGCGGTTGACGATATTGTTGCGCATCGTGGTGCTGCTACTATCGAGGTATCGGAGGATCTGGCCGAAGGCGTCAATGATAAGGCGTCCGGGGGAGACTCAGTATCTTAGTATCTCTCCCGGACGTGACAATGCTTTGGCGACTTTTCCGCTGTTGTTTTAAGCTAAGAACCTCTTCCCTTTCCTATTTGCGCTGTAAATTGCTCAACTCTTTCTTGCAGATTGTTGTCATTGGCCTCATCTTAGGTGGTTGTATCCCATGGGCTTTGAAGTTTGGAGGATTTATTTCTGAGTGTTGGCGGTCACGAAAGGGTAATGACGATGGCCCATTGGTGTATCTGCTCGTCTCTCCCGTATGTAGGCATGTATATATTGGTAGTACGGGTCGGGATTCCCTTCTCGTTGGAACGAACACGTCTATCGCGCAAAGAGTGATTTCTTGGTTCAGAATGGATGTCGCAATGAGTGATTGTATGCCTGGCTACGACGGGTTGGTATTGACAGCTATGTGGCTATTCCACTAGCTTTCTGCACGACTGAGGACTTGCTTTCGATCGAGAGGTTTTTTATTAAACAATTATGTCCAACTTTGAACACGAAGGACAAACCAGATGGATGAGACGGCGTCGACCTGGCAAGAGGGAACGCAATCGGAGGCGTCGTACATTTATGGTCGTATCACAGCGATCTAACGTAGACTCCTCTCGTAATGCTTTGATGCTATTTCATTCTTCCGTTGGTATCGAAACGTATAGTTTAGCCCGTATTTTGGATCACTGTCGAGACCACAACATTCCCAGAGTTTCTGTCACTTGCAAGGGGGGTTATTTACGCATTGATTCTTGGAAAATATTGAAGCGATGTTATGGTTCCTCTATTGTCTCTTGTCGTTTCGGGCAGGATCAGTTACCATCTTCGAAAGGATGGTTTGTTGATGGTGCTTGTATTTCTTTTCGTTCAGTCGTCCCGTTCTGTTGCAAGTCTCTGGTCTTCAAAGCCTCTCTGTCCTCCTTTCTTAGTAATCCTGCTTCTCGACAAACCCTTGTCACATGGGATTTACGCTCGCTTATCCTTGCCTTTTCTGCTGTCCGATGTTTCTCGGAGAATCGTTTTCGCTTTCGTCTTCATTTGATTCTCTCGAAATGTATCTCTTCTAGATTCGGTCTTCCGATCCGTAAGCGCCTTATAGTTAGAGTTACCTTTGACGTGTTTTTTTGCAAGCGTGAGATTCGCAAGGTATGTGCAAAGATCATACGTAATCTCGATATTGACGAATTTTGGAAGTCAATGTTGGTGAGAAGAATGTGTGTGGTATGGCGTAGGAACCGCACGATTGGTGATCTTATCCACAATTTTCGGGAGTTCTCTAAGGTTTTCACGTATGGGTGCTCTTGTGCTATGGCTGACTGTACCTTGAGGCGAGTTGATGGTCACGTTGTTTTTCGTCTCAGTGAAGATAATGCCTTCCCCTCCTGGATGAATAATTCTAAGAACATCTTGAGACCCCTCTGCTGATGATCCCGTTTGGGTGCTAAAACAACAGATCCGCGCTTCTTTCTTGGCCTTTCCTGAACTGTGTTCTGAGTCGGCAGTCTCCTGTCTAGCCTCTTCTGATTTGAGTGGTTGTGTAACTATGATGTCGGTTGACGCTCACGTATCTGAGACAATTCTCAGGCAGCAAATGAAACGGTTTCGTGGATTGGTATGCTGTCCAATCGATCATAATCCGGGGGATTCACTTGTGTGTTGCCCATCGGTGTATGGAGTCGGCATGAGTAAGTTTTTTACATATAACCCTTCGCTTCTTCATGTGTCCCACAATATTGATGACATTCTGAGTCTCTGCAAGACAACACATGCAGATCTGGGTTTTTGCCAAATTGGAAAATGGAACTGACAAGGTACCTTTGGCAGTGCATACTGTCTACCCAAGCACAAGGACATTTGCCGATGGCGGCCGATTTGTCCCTCACACCAGGAGGGGGCTGCTTTGAGTGGGAAACGTGTTGCATATGCAATCAATGAATTGTTGTGGCGACTACCTAGGTCCCTGCACTTCAATCTTCGAAGTACGTCGGACTTTGTAGACGACATAAATTTCATTAATCAAGTTGTCAAGAAGGATGAAGGTTTGCTTGGGGCATCGTTTGACATCAAAGAAATGTTTCCGAACCTTCCTCACGTTGCGAATATGAAAGCGCTGCAGTGGGCCATAGATTACTGGTCGTGCAAAGGGTACTCGGGTGTGTTGGTTCGTAAGCATGGGAAGATGGCTCGGCTGACCCGGGCACGTTCTAAAGACGGGTGACTTCTTATCAAATTCTCTACTCTTTTTCGCTATGTGCGCTATGATCTTGATCACACATACGTACGTGCTTCGGGGTTGCTTATGAAACAGGTGTTGGGTATCCCCATGGGCAAGTCTACTAGCCCTGCTCTTGCCTGCTTACTTTGTGCCTTCAATGAATCCTGTTTTCTGTCCACC